TGTGTGTGTGTGTGTGTGTGTGTGTGTGTGTGTGTGTGTTTGTGTTTACGTGCACACGTATGGGGGCTTGTTTGTGTTGAAGAGGATTTGAGGCAGATTCAGGTTTGGTCTCCAGAGGTTCGAGCATGTTTGTGTTTCTCTTTGTAGCCGTGAAACGGAAGCTGCAATAAACACTGGTCTTTCAACTTTGTAGGATCATGAAGTGTGCTTGTTTGTGTATTTTTACAAGCGCTGCCCTCATTTTCTCTCGCATTGTTATGGTAAGACAGCAAAATCAATAATCAGCAGCAACAAAACTGAAATCAATTGCTTCCCTAAATTTTGCACGGCGTATGTTGAAGCAATCTCCTGTTATTAAGCAGTTCAAGAGACATTTTTTTCCCATCGCAAAACAGAAAATGCTGAAAGCAGATGTTATTTTGTAGTTTGAAGTCAAAACATTTCTCATGGTGATCAGATCAATTTAGTAATATCCTCTTTCTGTTACTGCTTTGTTTGTATCTTTATTCTTGTCAGCCATAGTCTTCCTTAAGGCTCAGAAGCTTCCTGACTTTGTTTTGTCTTAAGCCAGCTGACATCTTTTTAACAGATCCCTTACTTCTACTCTTGTCTTACCTGTCTTCCTGCTAGAAGTCCATTCTGCAGGGCCCAGGTGGACAGGGTGTTAAGGCCTTTAACAACGGCTGCTTTAGGGACCAGCCTAGAGAACACACAGAAAGGACTTTAGTTGCTATTGTTTCCTTTACAAAGATGCCCAGGGGAAAGAAAAAGTCTCAAAACGATGAGAATCAATGTTTCCACTTCAACCGAATGGATACACAGCAGGCTCACCTGTCAAGGGAGCTGCAACCACTTGATTTGTTTCACTTCTTTAGGATTCAGTGGAGAGATTTGATCTCTCATTTTCCAAGAGGTCTTTAGGAGCATTTTTCCACAACAATGTCATTCTCACATAGATTTGTAATAAGCACAGTTGCAATGAAAGAAAAAGATATCTTTGACAACAAATAAAGATTGAACAAAAAAAGGTTAGGCTCCCTTGGTGAACAGAAGGAATGACTTGCATGCACAGTGTATTCACGAATGAGAGACTCTTTTTCTTTTCCATACTTTTGAGGGCGTATGTTACCTCTGCAAGTAGACGGCATTTGCTTCCATGTACATGTCTTTCTTCAAGTTGTTACTGAGGTCCACCAGCACCTTGAAATAAATCCATCAGCATTGATTGAGTAGAGAGAAAAAATAAAGTAGTTAGAATATTTGTCATTTATTTCATGCACATCTTTTTACAAAAATCATGTGAATGATTCCGTTAAGATGTGAACATCAGAAAACACTGACATTACACACACATAAGGTGTGACTGGATAACGTTGTGTTTTTGTGTAGCACCTCTTGTCCACCCTCCTCACTCTGTGTATTCATTTCCCATGATTACATGTCAGTAGCCTCTGGTTCTTTCTCCTGTATTTTATGCTTTCTCCTCTCTCCGTACCTTTCTGGAGATGTGTCTTGATCCATAGCTGCTTGGTTTTGACCTGTGGTTACTGTCCCTGCAAACCTGCTCACTGTTTGTTATTTTTCAAGTGCTCTTTTTCTTTTCTCTCCACTCTCCTGTCACCCCCGACCGTTTCAGACAGACAGCCCCTCAGCCTGAATTTGGTTCAGTCAGAGGTTCTTCCTCAAGAGGGATTTGTTCAGTGTCTTTCTGTAATACTGTAAGGTCTAGAGCCAACTAAACCGCCCTCAGATAACGTCACAACAACACACAAATAAATTACTAATAATTTTCTCTCTGATTTGCTTTCCTTGAAATTTTTTGTTTCCACTTCAAATATTTCTTAATAATGGGCCATTTTGATCTGCTTGTGTTTTTAATTTCCTGAGTTATTTTTGTTTATCATGGGCTAAAATGTAATATTCCCACATGTAACTTGGCCATTCTTTTAAAATGAGAATAGTTATTATTAGTAGTAGTAGTATTATACTGTGCTGTTGCATGGCATTAGTTGTTGTTAAGATTTAATCCTTAATTCATGCTGCAAATAAAAGTTACAAAGTAGCATAATCATCTTAGCAGGATTTAATTGATAAAACAATGCAAACCTAAAAGTAATCGTTTTTTCATGTCTTTTGATCTGTAACAGAACTAAAGTAATGCTAATATTTAATGTTTTCTTAACAATTCAGAACATTTACTGAGGAAAATGTTGTGGTTAATGTCTTGAGGACAAACTGTTCCACAATCCAACTGAGCGCAGAGGTGTCAGAAGATGTTCAAGCGAAGTAATAAATTTCCGAGATCTTGAGATTATTTTATTTTTTTTAAAAAAATTCACAAATCACTGTCAGGGATTACCTACATACGCATACAAAAGCCCATTTTCAGATGTCCTCTCTCCTGTCTTACGGCGGCACTTTGCTTTATCCAGTGTGAATGTGTTTAAAGTATTTTGAGACTGTAATTGAAGCTACGCAGGCTCAGCTTGACCAATGTATTGCTTCTTTAATCAGCTTTGCTAACACCAGTTAGACCTTTAACATAATGAACTTGCATTAGGTAATGCTGTTATCAAAATGAGTTACAATTAATCAGTCATTGATTGTCAGACCCATGATTTAGATAACATGTGTCTAAAAATTATTTCCTTGATATATGACTGACACAGCAGTTAATATTTATATGTTCTCTCAAATAACATGAATTAGTGCTGACAAATCACCATGATAATTCCATGAAAATGTCATTTTTAAACTCTTGCTATCATGTTTCACATGTGGGAACAAATGTAATAACCTATGTGTACACAATATGTTAAATATTGTTTCCAGGCCAGCTGGCAAATGAAAATGTAGAAATGTGGATTCACAGAAAGAAAGAGAAAAAAAAAAGAAAGAGTTTAAAGGTGTTTAAAGATTTAAAGGTGTATCTTTTTGATTCCAATTTTAACTTTGGACTAACCTTTCTTTCAAGTTGAGGTGCCATCTTCTCCAGAAATTCATAGTGTTCTCTGTGAACACAAACGAAGATCATCTTGGCAGACCGGGCTGATTCTTCATGGGTCATCACCTCCGCAAAACAAAGGACAGAACATGTTTGAGATACGTACAGTAATGTTTCTAAATTTAAAAACTCTATTCAGTTCAATATAATGCCATAAGTCATACCTGAGCTCCCTCAGGCAAGGGGCCACAGCTGTGAGGTCTGCGGCTGCCATACACCACCCTGTAGCCGGACTGGAGCAGACACAGGCCCAGAGAGCGTCCTAAGTCCCCAGTCCCAAAGATACACATCAGCTCAGGCTCAGGGCCATCTCCCGATGCCAGTGGATGCAGCATCGCACCTTCTGTCTTCATGTTCTCTGATATTTCTTTTTCCACACTTATGATCACACACTGAGATTGGATGGTCAGTTTTAGCTGTGTATTTATAATGTTTTGGAATCTGACCTATACACTGCCTCTCCCACTTTGTGCGTGATTCTTCTTTTAACCGCTTTAACCTCTGTGTGACATAAATGTGTGTAATGAAGTTATTATAGCTGTTTATTACATCTACAATCAACATCTGAAATCGCCTGTGTTGGAATGCAATATAACTCATATCTGTGTTTTGTGTTTTATGCAATGTGAGTCAGCATTTTATCCATGATTTCTTTTGGATGTATATTTAGTTTATTTTTATATTACTTGTGCTCATCAGCTATTGGCTGATAGAGCAAGACTTTGAACTCTAAATTAACTGTATGGGGAGCCATCTGCACTCTGCAGCAGTAACATTAACCTCAGATTCGCACTTTTTTAACATTTTATTATTCTTAGAAACGCCGACTGCTTCATCTACCTAGTTCAGCCAGAATTTGACTTTTACATTTGGTAATAATAAAAAAAATCTTTTGCTGCTGCTTTCCAGTGCTGCCTTATTCTATTTCTTCTGTTTCCACTCTAGACATGATGCCATGTGGGAAATCCCGGCCCACAGATTCATTATCATTTCAAAACCCGCTGTTCCAACCAAACAACCGGGAAGAGAATTTCTGCAAATTTAGTGTTCATGTCCCCATGGCTTAAACATCTGCAAAGTTGTGACACGAACAGACTCAGTAGAGCAGAAATGAAGCTTGGCACATATGTAAGTGTTTTGCGTGTGGCTGCTTTGCTTTGTATGAATGCATGGGTCTGTTCGCAACTGTCAGTTGGTGTATATATGTGTGTGTGGTCGAGCGTGTGTGTGTGTATCTGTGCACTGAAATGGGTCAGGAGGATCGGAGCTGAACAGAGTCCCAGCTGTGATGTGAGGTACCAGGGGAGTTGGCTTTGTGTAGACAGAATGACTACCTGGCTATAGAAATGACACACAGCATCACATCAACTTTAACTATTTGCACAAAATATACTCATCTCCATAAAAGCAGCCTCATTCAAATAACAATATACATACATATAGCCAGAAATATTTATGGCAGACAAGCAGCCTGTTACCTCAGGAGCTTTTACACTCAAGTCCATAACCAAAGCGTTAATGTCTACCAGGGGGTATATCGCAGCAAAATGAGAAATCATTTTATGCCTAACCTTTAAGGCATCCATTCACTTGTAGCACTGTTAGAATAGACCTGATAGCAGATTCACTCCAATGACTCATTTACTAGCTCTGCCTCCAAGACAACTCTCTTTTCACGTCCTCTTCTTTCTTTCTTTTTCTCTTTGCATCACCACTTAGCCCTCTCCTCCAAAGTCTGCGTTCTTTCTGTGCACTCAGTTCCTAGTGTTCTCCCACCTCTTAGCCGAGCTTTCTCTAACTTAATAATTATTGAACCCATCGAGTAAATTAAACCTACGTTGGCTTTAATTATGCTGTCCAAGGCCATGACTGTCTATCCGAGAAAGTTAGGTAACCTTCAAGAATAGTTCTTCCCACCTAACGTTATCAGTTTAAGTTTTTCCCACAACTCTTTCAAGTAAGTATTTCATCATTAGTGACTGTAAATAGCTCTTGATATGTTTGTCTATATATGTGGTTGATTTGCCTATTCATGTTTTATAGATTCCAGAAAAGTGTGAAATTCTCACGTATCATTCACATGGGGCAGCAAATATGTCCCTGGAATAGAAGAAGAGAAACAGAGCTGAAAGAATTCATCACTTTATACTCTTTTGAAGTGACTAAGCAAAGACAGTTAGTGGCAGTGTTGCCAAGTCCGTAATTTCCCACAGAACTGGGCTACTTTTGAAGTCTTGCCACAGGGTGAATTTATGGTCCACTTGTTGGGTAGACCTAATTTGCATGAAAATTACACGAATATCTATAAATAACCACACATAAGTTACATGAAACAATGAATTTATACTCAGAACCCTGCTAAATCAACCGCAGATCAGATCAACATGTAAACAATTCCAGCTACATTCAACCACGCACAGTATGCCATAATTGCCGCACAGTGTGGGCACTAAGCTAGTTTTGTCACAGTCGTGTCTAAGGAAGGGAAATGAAAGAATTAAGCAATTCCAATTGTATTATTGATATCAGTTATCAGTTTGATTACTTATTGATTTTCTTATAGATTCTCAATGAGTTCTCTCACTTTGAGAGTGACCATCAACTCTAAGCAGCAGATCAAACACATTTGTGCAAATGAATTGCATAATGTGGGTCTTCGCAGCCAGCAGCGGGGAGTTGGCGAAGCCAGCTCTCACCGGCATCTGCAGGAAGAAGACGTGACTGAAGAGGAATTCGCTGTCATCCTAGGAAGGACAGCATGCTCTCCGTGAGCTTGAGAGTGGTACGAGAGAGAGGAGTTTCTCGGCCCGCTCTGCATCGGAGAGGGAGTAGCGCCGCAGCAGCAGCAGCACCTTAAGAGCGATGTATTTCCCTTGGGTGGGGGGATGCCGGAAAACGGTTATCACAGGACGGTTGGACAGTGGATCCAGCAAGGCCACCACGTGTTGGTATTTCATGTCGTCAGCTGAAATGCCACGGGGAGCAAACTGAGCTTCAATGTGCACGAACCACGAAGGAGGGTCATGAAGCTAAAAATCCAGCAGCTTAATTGCCACAGCAAAAATTAAAACGTGCAGCTCTGTAATCACTTCCGACATAAATGAAGACAGAAAACTGAAGTTGGGCTAGCTGGTATATAATGATGTGCTGCGTGGTGTCTAGCTACACAGCTATGGTTAGCACAACATAAACACAGTGAAGCTTGAGGATGAACGCTAAGGTTTTTCCACTCAATAAAAGTTAACCTGAGAGTTCCCGATGATTAGGGACAAATGTAATTGCATGGCAGGATGCTGTAAACGGACCAAACTTCAGTCAGGAGAACAACTGCAAAACAAGGTTAGTCATTAATATACTGCTGCATGGGCTGGGCCATAGGTACATTGTAAGGTTTTAAAAACTGAGCTTTAAAATGAAAACTGATGATAACAACCGAGAGAAGTCGATAGTGGTCACTGACTTTTTTTTTTGGGGGGGGGTTCACACTAAATAAAACAAAATTCAAAGCATTAAACAGGTTAAAAACACAACAGCCTTAATAAATGCAGAGTAGTTTGGACCCGGAAGCAGGGTTCATACGTCATCACTTAAAGATTGGATATCCCAACTGCTGTGGATGTTTTAATGCAGTGCAGTTGTTATTATTAAAGCTTGCCACATCCTGTTTATGACAGTTACAATAAACACTGTTCCTTAGTTTGGAACTACAGTAGATACTCATATTACTCACTCATCCATCGCACATTAGCCATGGACATCTGGATTAGAACTCCAAAATTCAAAACCTAAACCATACAAACTCACATTGCTGCTGAGTCTCACTGATATGATGAAATGTCTCAGACATCCATTGGAAGCAGTTAAACTAAACTGTTGTGTTGTCTCTGTTGTATGACAAAGCAAGCACACGTAAACTTTTAATTGCATTTTTAAGGACAGTCTTTCTGCTGCAGACAGATTTTCTAACCATGTGAGTATTTTGTGCTTTTTCAAAAACATCTTGCAACATTTAACCGTAATGCGCTCTGGGACATGTTTACATCGAGCATATGCTGAGCCTTCAATTTATAAATGTCAGGGTGGAGTTGCAAATTACAGCACACGTGAGAAAGCACACTCAGATTCTTCCAGTGTTATCTGTCACTCTGCAGTGCATTAAAACATGCGTATAATAGTGAGCGTTGAACATTTGTTTTGCCAGCTTAATGGACAAAAATAAAGAATTCACATTTGCAAGCAAGAGTGAATGGCTGTGGTGGGAATTACTTGAGATTACAGCTGTTTCCAGGCGTCATGAGGCACGCACAATGAGGGGCAGTTGTTAAAGACAGTTTTCAGTGAGAGTGCGCCTATTATACATAGTGCCATGGTGTTACAATGAGCAGAGAACAGCCTGTAAGATAGATGAGTTCTAAGAGATTTCTGTTATGGCAATGCATTACATATGAGATTCATATTGAGGCTCTGACTGAGCTCAGGTTTTGAGGTTGTTGAAAAAGCAGTGGAAAAAAAGTGGTAGGAAGACAGACACACACTGGCTATACAATGAGACACAAAGACAGAAACATAGGGAGCATAGCAGAGAGACTCAGGCACAGAAAGAAAGACACCAAGAAGAAGAAATTGAAAAAAATTGTGTTTCAGTAGAACAAAGATGCTTGTTACAACCAGTTTCCCATAAGTATTCCCAGAAATATTCTATAAATATTCCATTACCAGCTTTCCAGACAGAAACACTTGGGATGTTCATTATGAAACACTTAGAGTAGGTTTAAGGAGAATAAGAAACACTTTGAATGAAAGTGCACCCTATTTTTTTTTAGATGTTTGTCTTTGATGAAGTTGCTGCTTTAGGGCTGTTGAGATAAATGAATAGTGCGTGTCCTTTTGTATAGCATGTACATGTATGGTGTGGGTGTTCTGTTACTGGTTATGTTTGTCTGTCCAGCTCAACATGTTCACTGGTGTAAAGAAATGTTCATGTGTGTAAATTTATAGTCAATATTCCATTTTTATCATGTCTACAACAGGCCTACATGCATTATAGAAGCATCTCAACTCGGAGAGCCTCATCCCCTATCTCTGCTTTAACAGGATGAGCCCTGACTGTATGTTTGATGTTCAAAATCTTATCTGGCAAGCCAAGCGTCAGAAATCAGAGGCTGGGAGGAGCTGCATGAAACTGCAGATTTAGAGATTTTCCTCTTTCGTCCGGCACACATCGCTGCTGAATTATATGGCCTTGGTTATTTCAGAACTCAGGCTTTTTAAGAACAGAGGGGACTGGGACACTTTGAAAATATCTCCAGAAAGACAATGCTTGCATGGGATTGTCTTATCCTCTCCTTGGATAGCAAGCTTTGATAATCTTTTTGCCTCGTTTAACTTCTTTTCCTCCCCTCCACCCTGCGCCGTTCTTTGTGTGATCCAAGATAGAAGAAATTGAACAGTCTTTTTCGGTTTACATGCTGAAAAGGTTGAGATTAAGATCTCCAATGTATCTGTGTCATTCTACATAGTCATATCTCCACAAACAGCTGTGGTCTGCAAATAGCATGCATCCCCACTGTTCCTCCTTTGTGGCTGGAGGGAAATCGACAGCCCATTATGAGGCTGAGATAGGCCTAAAGAATTTTTCGCCTCATCTCCTCAGCCATACCTCCAGTCAAGTGAAAGAGCTGACAAGGTAGGAAAAAGCTGACACGGAAGTCTAATTCTGTAATGATGAAAACCTCATAGTCATCAGAGGTGCAGGTTCCCTACTCTGTATTTTTTAACGCAGGTGGTGTGCTGAGGGAAAACGACAGAGAGTCAGGAAGCATGCAGTATGCTCAGGTTCACAGGCAATATGGTTGTGAATGGTGATGAGGCAAACTGTTGTTGCTAGGTACAGTTTCACAGCAAAGCTATAGTTAACAAGGCGACAAGAACGTTCCTGACAGCCAACGATGGCATTTGTTCTAATTTCCTTTCAAACTACCCTCTGGGTCGCAATGCCTAAATGAGGTTACTGATGATTGGTGCAAAAAATAATTATGAGCCAACAGTCCTCTTAGATCAGCAGCATGGTAACCATGTTTGTGTATGGCCCTGACTGGCAGTCAAGATCATCCTTTTTTCCATGTAGAGTTATATCGGATTAGTGACTTTTTTTCCCCGAGTGTCTCATCTGTTGTTGTTTGTATTGATTGATTGATTGATTGATTCTTTATTTTGAACATGTTGAAAAAGTACAACAAAATAGAATTAATATAGACAAATGAACAAAGCAAAACAAAAGGAAAACGAGCGTCTCATCTGTTGTTGTTTGTATTTATTGTTTTATTATCGTGAAAAGCAACACAAAGCTGTGGCATTTGTTTGTGTATCCTTTTAATTAATAAGGTCTCTTTCAAAGAAGGTTAAATCTCTGCTTTCTCCAGTATGTGGAGATGATAGACAATTTCCAGGTGATATTTGAGCTGTAGCCAGGAATGACTGCCTGGAATTGTCTTTTAAAATATAAAAATTCTTGAATTAATACAGACTTGTCAGTTCTGGTGTTCTCTGGCCAGCATTCATGCCACCCACATTTTTCAATGATGAAGACATTTAAGTACAAAGAAAGTTCTTGCTTTGAGCACCCACTAGAAACTCAGAGCTAGATGGATGCCCAGCACTCATCAGACTAGAAAACAGAAAACCAAGAAGGACAGGGGACAGGGGGCTTCAAAAACAAACAGAAATACATAAAATAGATGTAAACACACAGCAAACAGATAAACAACATCATTTTCAGATTTTTTTTAAGGGGAGTTGTTAAGCATCCTTTATTCTTTTAGTTTGATTTGTATCAGTATCCACACCATAAGCAGGAAACACAGGCTCTCAGTGTATTTCAAGGTAACTTTATTGTGCTGTGGAACCACCACAATATGTAGCTTAAGGGTGTGAGAGAATCTCAGATACACTGACTCAAATAAAGCAAACCACAGTATAAACTGATGTTTAGATTCATGTTTGAACATTAGTTTATAAAGTGTGTTTTTCTTCCTTTCTTTACCTCCAGCTGGTCGAGTCATATGGTCTTGCCAATCCTGGTTTTGCCAGAGGGTTCTTCCTGTTAAAAGGGAGTTTTCCCTTCCCACTCTTGCCGACTGCTTGCTCAAAG